GTTTAAAGACTCCTTTGGAAGCCTGATTTAATAGTGGAGCTGAGTGAATAATTCAAAAACTTTTTATCAAGTACTTGTTTAAATTCTTAAATGAGCTCACCATAACCTTTTTATGCACCCCTCCTGCATGTGTCATACAAATACTAGAATAATTGAGTTTTACTATCGCAAATGTTTCTGTGAAGCAAATTTTTAGACCTTGATGTATGACTGTTTATGGAAAGGGGAATGTTAAAATCTCACACACCAGTGTCTATGCCAGAAACTTGTGCTTGCTTACTTAGGAAGAGGGTGGGGGGACCGGACCCTCGGCTTCGTTTGAGCAACGTTAACTAAGCTCGTTTGTCAGATAGACTCATATGCAGTTTAAAAACTGAACACATATGTTTAAAGCAATTTCAGATGTATCTCTCTTTCAGACCATTCTACGAACAGTAGCAGTACTTATTGTAAAATATTTGCTTTTTTTCAGATAAGTACTATTTCTGACTCTTTTTCCTTTTCTCCCCTCTTTAAATGAGATGAAGCAGCACATTCAAAATGCATCTGCTTAGTGTCACTGAGTAGCTTAACACAGGGATGCAGACCAGAGAAGATCCATAGACATCTTCCAGGCTTGGACTTCCCTTGGCTTGAAGTCCAGTTCAGGCTGCAGGAGAGCCTTGCAGATAGGCAATCTAGGTGGTTTTAGCATGGATGCTCACATGTATTAATGTTTGCAGACTTGCTGGTGAAAGCTCATTAGTGCTAAGTCACTTTTGAGTACTGATGGCCTTTGCAAGGACTTTTATTTGCCTTTTAACCAGCACATCTAGAGAATTGTCAATCATCTGTCTTTTGCTTCTGTAAGCGAAATGGAAGACTTATAAATTGAAAGCCAGCTCAAGAAGCAGGGGTTGATGATTAGGTAAGCAGCTGGGCAATGCTGTTTTCTCAGTGAAGAATTGTTGCTTAATTGAGTTAAAAGAATTTAGTAGAGGCTGTCTATTCTGCTTGCACACAAACCTTCTCCTGTGCATGCTCTGGCAGCCCTCTAACCTTTTTGGCACTGCTAAGTGTGTGCTGCAGCTTTCCTCCGAGGATGAGATGGAAAACCCATATTCTTTCAACGCGTCACAAGTTTGCAAAATCTTGAATTGCATCTGTGGGGTTTGCTCACTGAATTTTGGATTTCTTTGCTGACTTCCATCTCCGAGCTGTGATGAAACCTCCTTTAACAGTCTAAACGTGGTTACCACAGGATTTCCTGGGAACGTGCTGAACTCCAGCCACTGGTAAGCATCTGTGCCATGTGCCCCTTGCAATGTATGCAGAAATCTGGAATTGCAGGCTTGTGTGGTGAAGCAGATTCTTGGAGTAACAAAGAAAGTACTATTGAAATCTTCCATTGCCTTCAGTTGCAGCTATTCAGAGTGTAACTTCTATCGGTATAGAAACTAGAAACTAGGCATCTGTGTGTCCACAGCCAGGCCTGTGAAGGAGGGAGAAAAACCTAACCTCGTCTTTGGAAGTAGGAACTTTTGTTTTTTTGCAGTGTTAGAAAAAAAACATAAAACCAAAACCCAGCATCATCACAATGACCAACCTTGAATTTGTGGAAGATGGGCAGTGAAATGTAAGAGCCAAATAAACCTGTTCTATTTGGGCTTTCCTGAAACTGTCATGTGTGTAAAGTCATATTTTTAACTGAACAAAATTAGTTACATCTAAGTCTGTAACAGTGAGCATTGGCCTGTTGTGGTTTTCTTGTAGTCTGTCAATTTGGAGTGGAAAACTGGTCAGACTTAGTCTGACTCCCTCACATCAGTTGTAGCATCTGGTTCAGTTGAGCCTTTATCAAGCTGAAAAGAATTGACTGAGGAACATCTAGTCCATGTCTATTCATTTCCTTGCAATGCAGTGAGTATCAAGGGTTCTTCAGCAGTAACTTGCCAGTGTGGGTTCCTCAGACTTGAAAACAAATGGGTAGGTTTGGATGCACTTTCTTCACTTGTTTTTAATTAAATATTGGTGCAACAAGAGTTGTTTTGTGACAAGAAAGACGCAGCAATCTCAAAACGTGCAGAACAAGCAGGCTGTGTCTTGTCTCATTACGACATTCCCACTGTAGGAAACACCCTTTGCGCTTTGATAAACTTGTCCTTCTTAATAGTGCTAAACTGCAAGCTGACGAGTGCAATTGCTTTAGTGCATTGTAGATTTATAACAGTATGTTGTCTCTTCAGATATTGTGTGGCAAAGCATGTGTGAAGATAAGTGAGCAGTATTACCTTTATTTACTATGTGGGGAATATGAGACTTGGCAGCTTTTTCTGAAATACCCACAAAATCTCAGTGTTTGCCAAGTGAGCTGCTGTAGTTTACGATTGAAGTTGGTGATTGCAACAGGCAAGATCTCCATTGCAGCACAAAGTGGGGAGGGTGAGTGCCAGCTGAGGTTTGCCTTAAGTGATGTGTCTGGAGAGATGCAGGCTGGTGGCAGAATAGAAAGGGACTGTTGTCTCCTGGTTTCTAAATTCTCTGCTTGATCACTGAGAAGAAATTATGTGACCACCGAGCAAACTGGAGTGTCTGTACAGTTGGTGCTGAAGCTTTGTATAGAGTTAATAATAATCTAAAGGAGAAACTGGATCAAAATAAGGTCTGGCTTTTGTTGTAGCTTTTTGCTTTTTGGTTGCATATTGGTATTCTGTAAAGCAAGAGGTAATTTGTCAGCCATTTCCCTATTTACATAAGTATCTTTGATACATCACCTCCACATGGCGACCTATGGACCATCTCTGTTGGGTCTTTATGTCATTCTAGGTTTGGTTATTCCCTCTTTCTGTCTGGTAGAGATTTGCACTCCATCCCTGTCTGATTGAAACTGGTGCCTGTTCAGAAATGCATCACCTTGTCTTTTAAGTACTCCTGTCCATATAATAGCATGTTGAAAAACATTTTATTATTTTTGCTTATATTGATCTCATTTACCATTGTCAGAGGGGAAGACAGATAATGACTTGATTTGTATTTGGACTGGAGGGATTAATTATGAAGTACAGCTGAGTTGTTTTCTTTCTTTTAAAGCTGCATACCATTTTCTGCTGTGGGTGTTTTGGTTCTTGTTTATTTTGCTAGTTCGTTTGGAGAAGAATAGTCTGGGAGAAGGGAAGGAAGAGGCAGGGTTTACCCCTGCAACCGTCATTGTTAGCCCTAACTTTTGGTAGAGCTTTGCTGCTTTGGCTTGACCTTTTTAAACTTGAGAAATGTGTTTTTGTTTGTATTTCCATCTTGTTACATTTTCAAACTATTTTAACCATACCAGATTTCTTGAACAGTAATAGGGGGAATGTTTTTCAGAGTCTTCATAGAGTTTCCAGGCAGCTTTTCATCCACCAAGTACTATACCAGGCTCTCAGTGGTGGGGTTTTGCTTGATTAGCTCTAAGAATCTGCAAAGCAACTGTTCAAAATTGCTGACACATGTTAAGTAATGTGAAAATCACCATCCTACTCCATTGAAGTCTGAGTGCTCATGTCAGCAATGAGAACAGGATCTGACCCTGAAAATTATACGTGAACTGTCTTAATCTGGAGAGCATTTCTAGTCAGTGTCTTTCCTCTGACTCCAGGTAGTTTATCCTTTTGGTCTTGGGTATTGTTATTTTTCTTAAAAAAATTTTTTTATTTGCTCAATCTCTTGAAATACCCCATTCTGCCTTGTCCATATATTTTTAAACTATTCAACCGCATGTTTGTATTTGGTGATGCCAATTTAAGAGTAAAATCTCAATTCCATAGTTGAATGTTAGGAGAGGTAATGCCTAGTTATGACAATAATACTATTGGTATAATGCCTATTAATAAGAAATCCGTCATCTTCCAGCTCCCTCCTCCAAACCTCTATTTTTCAGCTTTGGAGCAGCTGTAATCAGCCCGTGCAACTTCCCTTCCTCCTCTCATGAATAAATCCCAACCACCTTATCTTCTCTATCGGAAAGTCTTCCCTGGTTTTAACAGCCTCTCGAGGAGCGTATAAAAGGGGCTTTCACTGGCTAACAGGAAGCGAAATGAATAGAGGAACTTTTGATAATGCCCTGTCTGTCTGAGCGGAGGATCAGCCTGACTAAATTGTACCAGATTAGTGAATTAATGCTTCAGCCGGAACCAGAATTATAAGTTTTTAATCTTGGAACAAGCAGTGACTTCTTCTTAAACAGTGATCAACTCCCTCTTTGATTTGGAGGCTTGCAGTCATCCATATTCAGTTAGTTTGGGTGGGGTGTTTTGTTGTGGTTGTGTGTGATTTTTTTTTTTTTGTTTTTTTTGTTTTTTTTGTTTTGTTTCAGTCTGCATTCGTGAGTTTTAACAAGTCTTCAGTGTTTTTTTTGGTAGTGGTGATTTTGGTATAATACCTGTTGTGGCCATATGCCATTTCTGCCAGTAATTTGCACTGTGCTTTGGATTTTTATGCCCATAATGAATTCTTGTATGTCTCAACTTTCTTAACATTGATCCATGTTGTGCTGCCTCACAGTTTTTTGCAGTTAGCCCTGGGGTGGCTTGGATATTTTTTTATAAGCAATACTTTTGGTTCCTGCCACCTTCAGCCTTACTGGAGAGACCCCACTTGGTTCAAACTTTCTGATAATCCAGCTCGACAGGAGGGGCAAGTGACTGAAAATCTAAATGGGGCAGTTTAACTAATTGCCTTAGGCCTAACTTGTCTGCTGGATAACACTAGTTTTATTGCAGTCCAACATGATTGACATTTTAGGCATTGCACTGGTAAAATATTGGCAACAGCAGTGGAAAATCTGCCCTGTTGTTTCTGATATGTTTGCTGCCTGAGGAGCACCTTTTTGTTACAAATAACTATCTGAAATGCAACAGATGGAGTGAATGTACTTCTTTAAATCACTGACTTTTCATCTTCCTAAGAAAAAGAGTGAGAGTATTATCCTAGTTACTAAAATTTTGCCTCTTTCTGTGTTGCTTTTTTTTTTTTTTTCCCCCCAGGCCTTTTTTTCTTGGATTTTAGTACTGGCAAACTCTCTAATGACAACTTTGCTTAGGTAAGTGAAAATTTTTTTTTTTCTGGGTTTTTTTAGAATCACTTCCCCTATCTTAACTTCTGCATGTTGTGTTGTAATTGTGAGCTGCCAGCCAGCTGTGCTGCTTGTGCTGTGGTTAAGGCTAGAAAGACGTAGTAAACAAAAGTAAGAGTAATGCCTGTAGTATGACATAAGGACCTCATTTATTAATTTAATCAAATGTAGTGGACATGGTGCAGAATAATGAAATACATATTTCATCTGCATGTTACTGCATAATCTCACCAATTTATTCAATTTTTTTTCAAGAGATGCTCTGGTTTTTTTTTTGGTTTTTTTTTTTTTTTTTTTTCTGGAAAGTAAACTTGGTTTATTGGTATCACATAATGTCATTTCATTAGACAAATGAGGCCTTAATGCTTCCAGGTCTGTAGATACAGGTCACTCTTCCTCCATCCCTTTCTCTTCCCCCTTTCCCTCAATGGTTCTAGGCAGGAGTTTCTGGCATGGAGGGCAAATCACAAGAAGTTTGAGTGTTTTATGCTTTTTTTTTATCCCAAAAGGTGGGAGAACCTGAATATAGAGAACCTGAATGTATTTACCTTTCCCTCTTCCACCTTCTGAACCTCATCTACACTTCTAAAATTTTAAATTCAAGCTGATCAGTGATAAACAGTGTTTCTGAGTGTTGATGGCAAGCACGTGGTCTTGTCTACTTCTAAACACCTTTGAAAACCCAGTTCCTGTGCTGCTACATAGCACAGGGACATTCTTTTGAGCCCAAGTCTGGCCCAGAGGTGGCTTGGGTGATGGGTGAGCGAGCTACGTGCACTGCTGTACCAAAATGTACTGTATTTTCCTTTGTGATGGAGAGAAGATTTGGTTGACCTCTGATGCAAGGCAAGAACTTCATCCCCAGGTATGCACCTAATTTGATATTAGTTGGAGTTGCTTGCAATCCTGGATGAGACCAAACAGTGACTGCAGTATTCACATGGGAATATTGTATCCTAGCATCTATGCTGACAAAGATAAAAGTGCTGCTGTTCTTTGTAAAGTGTCTGTGAAAGGGTTTTCTTTTCTTTTTGTGTTTTCTGCTGCTGGGTCCTTAGCAGTACCCACCCTCTCTCCCTTTTGATCTCCTTCCAGTGGATGGTCAGCATGGAAGCTTCTGGCCTCTGTCCCTTGAGATGATGGACCTCAGGGAAGCAACACTGATCCAGCCTTAAACCAGAAGTCTTCTCCAGTCTGCTTCTGCCTGGCATTTGTCCCTCTTCAGGGATGACTCCAGGAGAGTGAATAGGTCTTTAGCCTTAAAACCTCATTTTAGCAAAATAGAAAACTCCAAAGAGGCTCTTGTGTTCCCTTTAGTTTTCCTTTTAGTTAAATAAACTCAGACAGGTTGTCTGCCATTCCTTTGGCAAGGTGCTGAGCTCAGGTACCTTGTCTAGCATGGCTTTTGTCTTTTCCAGAAACGCATGTGAGTTGGCTGGTGGCCTCCAAGCTCTGGGTGCACCACCTAAGGTGGACTTTCTAGTCGTGATAGACGGTCTGCCTGGCGGCGTGCTAAACTACAAGCAGGAGTGGACTGTAAGACAAAGCTGCATTTCACTAATTCAGATAAAAGTTCTTAGCAGAGCCATCTGTGGTATGTGTCTGAGATGTTGCTGGATCCCAAACAAGCTGTTGCTCGTGAGACACGCTTGCCTGTTGCAGCATCGTTGCGGTTCCCCCACGACTCCCTCGACTGCTGCGTAGCTTAAGGAGTGACTAATTTGCAGCCTGAGGCTGTATTTATTGATGCCGCTGCCTGTGCAGAGAGAGGAGAGGACTCTGCAAGCCAGGGAAGTATTTAGGCAGCAGTTTTAAATCCTTTTAACTTTGTATATTGGACACATCTATGAATATATGCAGACCTAGTTAATAAATAACCCAGGGAATGGTAGTTAAGAGGAAAGGACATAATTAATTCTGTCGTGTACTCTGCTTTAAAGTTGGATCCAGAGCAATAATGTGTTACACTGGAAAGGTAAACACTGTCATTATTCAACAACAAAATGCATACAAGGCTGACACTTGTTTTCCTCCTTTTGATTTAATATTTTTTTTTTTTTTTTTGCAAGCGTTTGAATATCTTAGATGGTCTTTGTTTGGTATGGTGGAAGCCTGATGGAGCCCTACCCTTTCTGAAGGGTCATTACTCCTTTATTTGAATTGAGTTTTGTATTAACGGTGCTTTGCTGACACAGAACTGTTCGAGAAGGCTCTTACTGTATTTGCTGCGGTTGGGATGCTTGGCTGTAATTCCTGCAATATAGTTTGGAGGGAGGGTATTTCTGTTTCATCAGGTGATCCCTTTTCAACTCCCCGCATTTCAGTGTTGTCCCAGGTCAAATTCACGTGCGGAATAAAAGAAAAAATATAATCCTTTTTGTGGAGATACTATTACAAAGTCAAAATGACTTTCTGTTAATTTGTATCTCTTTCCTCCCCCTATACCAGAGTGCAGTGAAAACATCTGACTATAGCAAATGCAACTTTACATGGGTCCTTCCAGCTTAGAATTTTTTTCATTTTTTTTTTTTCTCACTTTTTTGTTTGTTTGTTTTTGAATTAGTGGGGAGAGGGATATGGGGGAATCCTTGATTTGCATCTTAAATTGTTTAAAGTTTCTGTGAGAATGATATCTTTGCTAAAAGGTATAGCTGTTGTGGTAAAAAGTTACATGAAGTAAGGTAGTTAACTTCAGCTTATGATGATAACTGATAATAGGAAAAAATGCTGAAGTGATTGCAGTTTGCAGCTCCCTCTTTATTATTATTCATTACACAGCCTCTCCCCACTCCTTCACACTTCTCATTTTAGCAAATTTCTTTATGTACAGTTACACACACAGAAACAAGGAAAGACTGTATGTACCTATTACTGTTCTGTCCATGCTCCAGAGAACCCAGCCCGGCTGACTGAAGATCACTTGAGCTTATACAAATGGAGATGTGTGTATCTAGGGTGGGTTGGTGTTGTGCAACCCCTCAATGCCTCTTCCTGTGGAGTTTTCTTACAAGTTTTGCAGTTCTGCCTCTTCCAGCAGAAGTCTTAGGCAAAAAACACTCATGGAGACACCAGTGGAATAGCTGATGCAGCTCAGCAGCCGCCTCCTAAAATAAGTGGTGGAAGGATGCCTGTTTCTCTTAGCAATATTTGCTTTGGAAGACGAGCATCTCTTCAGTATGTCCTTGGCTCTCTGTGTCTCCCTAGTAAACTATGCTCCTTCTTCCACAGTTTTCAGCTCAGTCAGTTTAAAAGTTCCTGGTTAAAAGCAACATGGTAAACTATTTGTGTGCTCCTTCAGGGTCTGCTGCTTCTGATTGCAGAAAGGTTGCAAAACTCCCAGGAATTTGGAGAGGAAGGGAGTCCTTCCTTGGTACGGATCCAAAAGAAGTTGCGTGTTGTCAACTTGCACAAGCTCTTTCTTCAAAGTATGAAATATACTTTTTCAGGGGGAAGGGATTTGGTAGAAAATTGTTAGCCCTTGGTGGGTGGCATGAAGCACATTGACTGGAGGGGCTATTGTTCTGTGGTTAACGTGCTGTTTATTTTGCAGCCAGTGATCTTTTTATTTTGCTGAGGCAGATGGAGGGATTCCCAATTCCACAAGCATAACCCTGGGAGAGATTATTTGGTTTTAGGTTTCACCACTTGGATGATGAGGTTAGCCTGAGACAGACGCATCCCTGTGTATAGAAATGGTCTTGGCCCAGATCTTGTCTAGCAATGTAAAGCCTGAGAAAGAACCAAGAGGTCAACTTCAGCTTCTTAAGGAATGCAATATATGTTCATTTTGGCATGTGTGGACTGCTGCTTTCTTTTATTTCAAAAAGGGTATAAAAAAATTAGTTAAAAGCTCATGTATTATTTTTTAAAAATGCTCTAATTAGAGCTATAATTAGGTCTGAAGTAGAGCGTACTTTACAGTTGCATAAATATTTATATCAGTGATACTGAAGCACTAATGATAAAGAATCCTAAGAGATTTTTTCATAGCTACAAAGCAAATAACATTTCTACCAGTCTCTGCGTCTTAACATCATTCCTTCACTTTGCCTGTCTCCCTACTACTGAGCTAAGCAATGTTCTCAATCTGTGGACACCAGGACTTTTTTTTTTTTTTTCATCAATACCAGTCTTAAGTAATTATTCTGCAGTTCTCCTAATACTTGTTGCAGAAGTGAGCTTTTCTGCTCGTGTTAGTGAAAGGTCTGATATTTTTGATGGTGTCTAGAAAACTGAAGCTCTGATACTAGCTAAGATGAACAGAAGCTTGTTTCCTCTTTGTTCACATGGGCACTTAATTCACTTCCCCATCTGCTTTGACTTTGAAGATTGCTGAGGTTCTTCCTCTGCCTGACCCACTTGGCATAAGCTAGAGAAGATTATCTTTCTTTAGTAGCCAAGTTTATATGGCTTCAGTGTATTTGTAAATAATCCTTACAGTTTTGAGTGCTGTTTTTCTCCTCCTTTCCCCTGCAAAACTGACTTGCTGTTGTTCATGTGCAAATTAGGGAAGTGCTTTTTCAGTCTAGATAGAGGGGAGAGTTGGTGCAGTCACTAAGCAAGAGGGCATGTAAAGTGTGCTGAGGATATTTCACTAAGTATCCATGATTTTAAGGTTTTCTCTTGTGCAATTTTTATTTGTGGTCTTAGCACAAAAGAGCATCAACTGTAGAGGAGACCTTTGGTCTGCTAGTCCTTGTACAAGCTCAGTTCCAGAGTACAAAATCAGTATGAGACAAAATACAGGACCTGGGTGTGCAGAAACCTCTTTATAGAAGCATGTACTTTTTAAAATGTACTCAACAGAGGAGGACAGGTCTTTGCTTTCACACTTGAGTACCTGCACCAGTAATTGGTTTGCATGTGTGAGTAGTTATTTTAAGGTAGCATTAAAACTCACTTTCAGCTTCAATGAACATAATTTTCTTTTATTCTGAGATGGAAAGTTTCAGTATCGATGTGTTTGG